TTTCCTGGTTTCTTAGTGGAAAAATGTTTCGATCTGAAGCTTTTGTAAAGCTGACATGCCTGGCTGCTTCAGCTGCTGTGCAGCCCTGAAAAGGGGATCTGCTATCTGGAGCATCAGACTTGGAGTGAGAGCTGGTCCTCGAGTTAGTGAGCCACACTTGTTTATGTGACTGAGAACAGTTTCTGTGCCATGAAAGGAAGGAGACAGAACTAATTTATTGCCTTTTCCAGCCAAGGGAAGCGTGACAGCAGATGGCTCAAACATGAGACAGTGCAATCAAAGGAGCATTCAGCTGGTGCGGTTCTGGTGGGGCTGCAGGACACCAATATAAGTCAGCACATGAGAATACATACCAAGCTTTCCTGAGTCCTAAGCCTAGTATACTCAGCCCCAATCAGGCCAATAACTGACCCCCAAAACCACTGAATCTTACAATCAAACTTTGCCTTCTGCTACAGAGCTATTGTATGGTAATACAAGCAGCCTCTTTTTAATAGGCAGTACTTAGCAAGTGCTTAGCAGCACTATACATGAGATGTTGCTCCAAGGCAAGATGCAGTTAAAGGTCAGGATAGGCAAGGTCCAATCCTTACAGGAACGACATGAGCCATCAGAAATAAAGCATGTTCCCTCCACCCCCAAAATATTCCCTCCCTGTAACACCACTTCAATCTGGTATTTCCAAGGCAGCACCCCAGAGAGAAGACACATTCTCCACATCCTTACCAGGGAGGAAGCAGCAATTACCAAGAGCATCACCACGTGGAGTGCACGAATGGCTGCAGGAAATCTGGTTATAAGAACCTGGACGTGCAAAGGCATAAAAGCCTCACTCCCCCAGCAGAAGCACAGCAGATTTCAGCTGCCAAACTGGCTCCTTATCAGGCACTCTGTGGCTCTGGTAAGCTATTTGGATCAAACCTCACTCACATCAGTTCTCAGCAGGCTGCTAGCCTAAAGAGGCAGCCTGCCCTTTTTCTTATTTTCTTATTCCTGTGCTGAGATCAAAGGCTATAGCTGGACTCACCTCGCATCCTGCAATGACAATCCACCAAGAGAAGTTCACTTGACAGAGATTTCTTAAGCTGAGTTAACACAGCCTTGAACACCCACAATCCTTGGATCACAGACCATTTGCACTACAAGTCACATGCCACGTTGAAAAAATACACCGTGTTAGCTAGAAAACATACCAAGGCCTGCTTCCCAGAACACTACAGCAAGGCTTACCTGAACACCCTTCATGCACGTTCACATTCATTTGTGTGAAGTGAGGTTTTTTTTTTTTTTAACACTGGCATTTGTATTCGTGTGTGGCATGTGTACTTGACTACTTTCAAAGGTAAGCATTTCGGAGCTGGCACCACAGGACTTTGGGACTGAACTGCAGAAGACAGCCAAATTTATACGTGGCCCCAAGTACAGAGATTTACCTGTGAGGAATGTACTCATGCAATATGAGGTTGATGTACTCATACCACTCTTTTCACAGAGAACTTTTTTTTCTTTTTTTTTAATCCTCCTTTTCTTCAAAATGATTCATATCCATCATCTACCACAAAAATGCTCAAAACTCAATACCCTTACACAAATTCCACAGTCTCAGCAGTATTTCCACTTTCTTCTGAAAAGCACCAGCTGACTCAAGCCCTTTCCATGCACATAGTTTAGAGCACACCACACACACGTCTTTCCAGAGCAAATAGTTGAAAACCTTCTCACAAATCCTAGCACAAAGGCTATCAGACAAACACTTTGGCGTGAGGTGCCGATTCTTAGTGCCAAACTCAAGCAAGAAAAATTAAATAAACCTAAATTAAATAAAACAAGGTCACCTCTAGTAGAAACAAACGGCACCATCTTCAACATGCACCTCCTTTTGCCATGCCAGCCTCACCTGTTGCTGAAAACCTGGAGACGGTTGCAGTGGGAAACAGAGGACAACCTGAACATGAAGGCTGGCCAAGACAGCCAAAAAGAGTGCTTTGATCCTCCAAGGCATCTCTTGAGTTACATGGAAAAACTGCCCACGGAGCAGCCATTCTCTTAGCATTGCTTTCCAGGCGCCCTTCATATTCCTTATTTAACACCTCCATAGCTCTCAACCCATCACTGTTGATGAATAATCTGCTCTGAGCCTTCTCCTCTCTTACCATTGTTTTTTCTCTCCATGATTTGATCCCCTCCTTCACTCTGAAGCCCTACTCCGACATAAGTCCTCCCAACCAACCCTGACCTCCGCTTCCATAGGGAGTCCCATGACAACCTGCACTTAATGCTCAACACCTCTAGCCTTTTACCTCTTCTTGCCTACTTTTTTCACCCAGCATACCCCCCCCAAGAAAAAAACTTGGAAGCCACAATCCTCCGAATTTCCTCCCTTTCCTGTAACCACAGCTTTCTGTTCTTTTACCTTCTTGACTTACCTACCAGTCATGCTCCATCTAGCTCTCCCAAGGGTCACTCTCATACTGTTTCCTTTACTGCTCTACTAAGCCTCTCCTTTGGCTTTTCCTTAATAAAGGAGCACTATAATATCCAAAACTCACACTCTCATCCCACATGGTTTACCCATTTTTGTCTCTAAGCCCACCAAGAGAGTTACTGACAGCTGCTTCCCCAGCCCCCTCCACAACACCTCCCATACAGTTTCAATATCAGTACTCCAAGTGAAATGGCTCTTGTGGAGGTCTCCAATGACATTATTTTACAGAGAATCCACAGCAAGGAACTATCACGCTCCAGAGGGTTGGGTGCAGAGAGGACTGGCCCACCCCCACCCTGCTATTTTCCCCAGAAATTTGATAAGGGCTTTCTCAGCCATTTCTTTCTCCTTTAGCTCCTATCTCCTAGCTCTCACACACACAAAACATCTTTCCTACACATCAAGTCCACAGGTTGTACCTCTCTGCCAGACCCTGTTACCTACTGTTCAGACATGTGGAAAAAACATTGAAGAAAGACTATTTGATATGTTTAGTATGTCCAAAATAGCCACCCTTTTTCATCCTCTTCTTGTCAACACAAAACATACCTCCAGCCTAGTCTGCCACTGGAGCTTGTAAGCCTGAGGACTATCATCAACATGTTCTTGATGCCTCTCCAGCATGAAACACGGTGCTATACTGGACCTTGGTAAGAGGGTGTATATTTGTATTCAGGTAACAAGTGTTGATCAATCCAAACTTCAATACTGAGACTTTTCTGTGTACTTTAAGAGTAGAGGCTACCGATAACATTCTCTTTCCAGAAAGTCTGTATTTTCAATCTTCTACCCGAGTGACCTGCTCCTCAAGAGCTTTCCTAAAAGGCCATGGAGGTAAGATGTATCACATGCAGCAGTGAAGAAAAATGCCAGCATGTAAGCTATTTCCAATCCTAGGTACAATAAACACCTGCAAGGCATCTACTCCAGGTAGCTCTGCTATCAGCAAAATGGCGATCTTAGCTTTAACCCCTGTAGGTGAAGCATGTCTAAATGAATGTAGAATTTCCAAAATTGGTAGTTGTATCTATACCTTAACACCACACTAAACCACTTCAGTCTCTACTGATGTGCACACTCGTCTGGGATTAGATGAGAAATAGCCTATCGAAGGAAAACCTAACATAGTTTACCATTCCCAGCTCGCGCTGATTGAGCGGAGCAGCTTGAAGTGCAGTACATCCCTAAACCCACCTTAACGCCACAGTGGTTAGATGTCACTTCCGATACATATCAGATGTGAACAGATCTTGCAAGATGTGCATCTTGTGACTACTACAGTACACTCAGTGAAGTGTACGCTATCCTGTGAAGTACATGCAATGTGTGTACCATTTTCACCCTGGGTTGATTTCCAATCTCAAGTAAATCACACAGCTATGACCTCTCTAGATCCCATCATAACACAGATCTGGATACAAATAACTGCCACTGATAGGTTTAACAACCAAGCCATCGTAAACAAGTACTGACATTGGGTAGTTTTCCTGGGTCAGAAAGGAAAAAGACCACAGAATTCCACACAACCAAAGCCTTACTGCTATCCCCAACAAATTCAGTGACTCCAAAGCCACCGGAATGAAACCAGTTTCAATTCATTCAAGCCACCACAGCCTATCATAACATGCCCAAACTTGAGCCACCAGGAAAATTTCCTTCTAGGATAAAGTAAGACTTTGTTCACTAGCCACAGATAACTAACACCGAAGTACAGATAGGAAAGCTCCTGCATTTTGAAGGACACTCCATTTTAGCTCAGCAATGCAAAGGCGCAGCCTGCGAGACTAAGAACAGACCACACAAAGTTCTGCCTCACGTGATACTAATTAGAAAGGATTAATTTTCTTCAGCAAGATTCAGAACTTTGGAAAGAACAAAAGCTACACATCTGTATGACACAGCCAAATCCAACCGCCCAACATAGCCAAATCCAGCTGCTCATGCCTGCACACCAGAGCCTCCCAAAATGCTACGATTGCTACGGAGCCTGTGGGGGCAATGCTCCCAACCATGCAGTTGTACAAACACTCGAGGCTATGGGTGCTTTACTCTGAAGACAGCACGAAACAAAACGCAATTTTTCACATTTCACATTGTGCTGAAGTGCAGCCTGCCTCATGGTGCCACCATGTAGAGGATGCAACCTACAGTTCACTTGGAGAATTGGAAGTTATTCTAAAAATAACTTTGTTATACATAGAATCTGAAAGTTACTGAGGCTGAATCAACAGATCACCACACATTTTCCTGAAATACCTTGTTCAGTCCTCTTAAGTAATGTTCAACTCAAAATAACCTGGGGTGGAATGGATATTTGGGTTAAAGAAGGCAGCAAGACAATATATTAAGTCTGAGGGACTACTTCTGCAAGGAGGGAGGAAGGAAGTCCACCTTGTCTTCATACCAACTCCAGCCCAATGACAACCACCAACCTGTATGTTCCATACACAGGGCAATGCGAGGGACCAAGCTTTCACATTAGATGTAATAGAAAAACATTCTTTACTCTGCAAGTGTCTTTACAAATATATATTTATATATTTAAGCCCATTTCAGGCCATAAAAGCCCATAAAAAACAACCAGTACCTTTTTGAACAAGAGAAACTGCAATCCAGAAGTCTGAGGTGAAAGACTCCACCACAAGGGCTGCTTTGGCGCTTCTCTGAAGGCCTCTATTTAGCACATAAAACCATCTTAAAAATCACATCAGCCTTTTATCTGCAAGGAGGGACACCATTTTTACCCCACCTTTACTACTCTCTGTATGAGGTAAACTGGAATCACTTTTACACAATCACTTACTGCTTTAAAAAGGGGATATTGTATCCTGAAGACCAGCTTTTCCAAAAAACATTTGTGAATGGGTTAAAAAGATGCCGCTTGTGGATCTAACCACAATGTGCTGTTGTCTCAAAATAGAAGAAGTTGATACTAAAAAGCTATTCCAGATACATACAAGTACAAACACTAGAGCTGGTCAGAAAGATTTAGTTTCAACATTTTTAAAAAGCAGGGAAAATTTTCTGCAGTGTGGCTTTTGCACTAGTTTCCCCTACCCTCACTTTTCTACCAGTTCCATATACCCTTCAAAAAAATCACATCTGTTGTAAGAGTGCAAAGTCCATCCAAATCTCATGTTTAAGTTCACTATCACTACACTTTAAAAATCCTGATGGCAAATAAAAAGGTCTCAATTTAACTTAGCAAAAGTGATATCTAGAAAATATTCAACATCAAGAGGTCTTACAAAAAACTTCAGACTACTAAAGCATTCTAAGGCACAGTGTTTTGGAAGAAGTGCTTTCTCCCTTTGGTGTTGCTTTATACACATCACGTGTGTGAGTCCAAGTGATGCATGGAGCTGCAGATGTATGCCATGCCTTCTCCCAATCAGTGAATTCAATCTTCTTCTGCAGTTTCAGACGTAGGCTCCCAACGCTGCATGAAATTCAGTTAGACATTGCACCAGCTGCTGAAACTTGGGTCTTTCTTCAGGATCTAGGGCCCAACAGCAAGCCATTACAGCAAACCTGCAAGACAAAGGCAAATGGAAGACATGAGAACGTAAGCCAGGCGACCACAGTCCCAACTTGAAAATGAAAAACAGCATTTGCCACTAGAAAACCTGCTGACCAGAAAGAGAAGAGGAACCCTGTATCTTCTGATACACGATGCTGAACAACTCCTTCAGAAGACAGCCTCCCAAAATGATCAATAAACGTGCTGTGACTGAAAGCGCTGGTTTGATTTAGGACACAAGTCAGAGGCAATCCAGGAGGAAGCAATACATAATTCATTGGAAATTGCTCAACTATTGTAAAAGCATAGTTCAAAGTGTTTCTGTGGTAGGTTTATGGGAAGGGGATTTAGAAGAACACGTGAGGCAGAAGGTAGGGCCCGTGCTCTTGCATTCTCCTATACCATTAGGATTATGAATAAACACCTCAAGCACTGCCATTTAACTCCATTACACTCAGCACTTCTCCATAGTCTCGTGAGAGAACGGACATTCCTTCTACCCACAAACCTCGTGGCTTCCTACACTGCAGTCCCACAAACACTAAACTGAAAACCCCCGGTCCCTTTGCCTCCCTCCTCCCATCCTGCTGGTCAACCCCATTTCTCCCATGTGTCAGAATAAGGAAAAGAGTTGGGTCAGGATTAAGTGAACCTCAACAACAACAACAACAAAAAAAGCATTTAATTTTAGCTTGAGTTCCTTGACGTAGGTCACTGAAGCCACACAAATACTTACACGACGGTCAGCCTAAAAGGCAGAATAAACAGGCAGGGGAAGGCAAACGCGGCTCTTTTATTGATAAGGCTAGCTTAATGTGCTGGCTACAAAACAGACATTTTATCCTCTCTCCAAAAACGTGCACTTACAGTTCATCAGGGCAGTTGATTGGCTGAGCTATTCGATAGCCATCCTTTAAATAAGCAGCCATCTCAAAGGGGTCAATATCAACATATGGAGTCTGTCCTAAAGTCATCAGCTCCCACAGTGTTACTCCAAAGGCCCACTAAAAAGAAATACCATACAGCATTAACAGAGCATGCTGAATTTTGAGAGCTCCTTCAGTCATTCCACAAAATCAGTCATGAGTAAGCCTACACAGAGTAAGAAAGCTTTACATAAATGCTATATACATATCCAAGTTCAACATGACAATACTTTGTCTTGAATAGGGCCAATTAAGACTAACAGAACAGGTGTTAAGTTGAACTAAAATTAAAATCTTAGTGCACTAAGATTTAAGTACTAAAAAATCATGTACTTACTGCATTTTTCCAGTGTGACATTTCAAAACACTTAACAAATCTAAGGAATATTAAACACTATACTCACTGTTTTGGAAAAAATAACCATTTTATATTACATTTTACCTCTTCAAAACACTACATGAAATTCCTCAAAAAAGATCTGTGAAATTCAAAGGTTCAGAAGAGCATACTGAATGAAACAATAGTTTTTTTTAAATCAGTCATCTGTATATTTTAAGTATATGCTCAGAAGTAGGACTCATGAGAAAAATAAAGATTTCATCTAAGTAAACCTGACAGCTGGATCAGCATTCAACACCTCATTCAGCCGACAATACTTGCCAAAAGGAGCTTAAGGTGATAAAAAAAATAAAATCAATCAATTCATGTGCAAGCACACTGCAAGTAAAATGATTTACTAGCTGGTATCAAGAGACCAAACATAGATGGTGCTGATACTGCACATTGATGATTCATGCTGAAGTTACAAGTGCTGCAAACATCATGATTTATTAAGAAGGGGGAGAATTCTGCAAGCCTCGAAAGATTCTTGGTTTTAATCAAAAGAAACGCCCAACCCCCAACCAAAGCCTTAACTAAGGGATGCTGTCAGTGGGCACTGATGGGAAGCTCAGAGCCAGAGAATGGCAGGGGCACAAATGCGGCCCTGCTCTGAACAGCCATCTATTAGCAGTGTGGGAAGGCAGGGGAGGACATCCTTTTTATTTCCAGTTAGGAAAAATGCTGAGGGACAGGTGGTGGTGCACCTAGAACATGAGAATAAAAGGCGACTCAAGCAAAACTACTTTGAGAATATAACTACGGAATTAGTTATATTGGTTACTTACTAATTCCGTAAGTAACTGGATAAAAATGGCATGAAGCGATATAGAGCTTCATGTCCAACAGAGGGGAAAAAACACAGAATTAAAATTCAACAGGAATCATGTTTTGTTTTTCTACGCTTTGGCTGACTGATAACTGTTGGCAGAGAAGGAACACACTAGATAAGTTTCAAGCCAGCAAAACCATTTTAAAGAAATGCATCCAAAAAGCAAGCCTAGAACACATGCCAACTGCATCTTAACAGGCACCACCTAAATTGTTTGTAAAAGATTTCACCACCGATTAGAAGTTACACGCAATTGGTAACTAGGTTTGTTCCTAGCAAGTAGACAAAAACATATTACACCATATTTGTGAAAAGCATCCAGGTAAATGCAATGATGATATTTAGGGCAGACAGTATTTTCTACACCAAGAAAAACTGTCCATTTTTGCACACTGCAAAACTCAGATAGCTACATATGCTAAGAACTATGTATTAGAAGCTGAGTTGCATTTATCCCTATATATAATCCAAAAAGGAGTTCTGTGTTAAAAGTGTGGACTATATGCTGAATTGCATTAGAGTTTTCTGAAATGGTTATGATACTGAGGTGCCTTCATCCTAATAAAATTCTACATTTCACTGCCACTGTTACATAAGCTTTTATTTCCAAGTCCAGTGTTCACGAACAGTGAATACTTTCATGTTCCAGATTTAAAAAAACGAGTAAGAAATCAACATTTAATTGATCCCATTTAGTATTATAAAAACATGCTTTTACAGGTAAATTCTATTTTCTGTTCTGTCTTCAAGTTTGGTATAACACAAAACCCCACACATTTTCCAATGAGTACATAAGTATTTCTGAAACAGCTGACTCCTTCCCTTCCCTTTTTTTGTTTACATGGCTTGAGCACTAGTACAGAGACGATGGCAATGAGGAAAAAAACAATGAGAACTTTTCAAAAGTTTTCTAAACTAGCACATTTTAAGATGCAGATTACAATCTCTGGATTACAATCTCTCATGGCTACATCTCTCTAGCCATGTTAAGAAAACATGTCAGCCTGACCTCAGTGCCGGGGAAGAGTATGGAGCAGTTCATCTTGAGGGCGCTCACAAGGCATGGGCGGGACAACCAGGGGATCAGGCCCAGCCAGCACGGGTTCATGAGAGGCAGGTCCTGCTTGACCAACCTGATCTCCTTCTATGACCAGGTGACCCGCCTAGTGGATGAGGGAAAGGCTGTGGATGTGGTCTACCTGGACTTCAGTAAGGCCTTTGACACTGTCTCCCACAGCATTCTCCTAGAGAAGCTCACGGCTTAGACAGGTGTACTCTGCGCTGGGTGAAAAACTGGCTGGACGGCCGGGCCCAGAGAGCTGTGGTGAATGGAGTTCAATCCAGTTGGCAGCCGGTCACAAGTGGTGTTCCCCAGGGCTCAGTATTGGGGCCAGTTCTGTTCAATATCTTTATCAATGATCTGGATGAGGGGATCGAGTGCACCCTCAGTAAGTTTGCAGACGACACCAAGTTGGGCGGGAGTGTTGATCTGCTCGAGGGTAGGAAGGCTCTGCAGAGGGACCTGGACAGGCTGGATCGATGGGCCGAGGCCAACTGTATGAGATTCAACAAGGCCAAGTGCCGGGTCCTGCACTTCGGCCACAACAACCCCATGCAGCGCTACAGGCTTGGGGAAGAGTGGCTGGAAAGCTGCCTGGCGGAAAAGGACCTGGGGGTGCTGGTTGACAGCCGGCTGAACATGAGTCAGCAGTGTGCCCAGGTGGCCAAGAAGGCCAACGGCATCCTGGCCTGTATCAGCAATAGTGTGGCCAGCAGGAGCAGGGAAGTGATCGTGCCCCTGTACTCGGCACTGGTGAGGCCGCACTTCGAATACTGTGTTCAGTTTTGGGCCCCTCACTACAAGAAGGACGTTGAGATGTTGGAACGTGTCCAGAGAAGGGCAACGAGGCTGGTGAGGGGTCTGGAGAACAAGTCTTATGAGGAGCGGCTGAGGGAACTGGGACTGTTTAGCCTGGAGAAAAGGAGGCTGAGGGGAGACCTCATTGCTCTCTACAACTACCTGAAAGGAGGCTGTAGCGAGGTGGGTGTCGGTCTCTTTTCCCAAGTAACTGGCGATAGGACGAGAGGAAATGGCCTCAAGTTGCGCCAGGGGAGGTTTAGATTGGATGTGAGGAAAAGTTTCTTTACTGAAAGAGTGGTTAATCATTGGAACAGGCTGCCCAGGGAAGTGGTTGAGTCACCATCCCTGGAAGTATTTAAAAGACGGGTAGATGAGGCGCTTAGGGACATGGTTTAGTGGGCATGGTGGTGTTGGGTTGACGGTTGGACTTGATGATCTTAGAGGTCTCTTCCAACCTTAATGATTCTATGATTCTATGAAAAGCATCATAACCAAAGAAAATACCCCCTTAGCAGGAAGACACAAATCATAGTGCAAGTGGTTTACCATTAATTAGCACTCTAATTACCACAGGTTGATCTTCAAGGACAAGCTCCTGTAAGCATAAGAACAGTCCGTTCTGATAAGCAGGATGCCAAGCAAGCATGGTAGAAGGCCACCATGGATACACTGACTAAGCTCAGACACTAAGGAAGGAAAGAGAGGGTGGAAGCAGGAGAAGGCTACTTGAGGAATACAGTGAGAATGCATCAGCATGCAGAGATGGAGTTTGGAAAACCAAAGCTCAGAGTTAAACTACCAAGAAATGCCCATAGAGAAAACATTTAGGCTGCACTGAAGCCAAGCGAGTACACACCAGACCACTGAACCAGACAGGATGCATCCAAGAGTGACAAGGGAGCAGGTTGAAGTCATTACAACGCTGCTCTCATCATCTTCAAAAGACCACCGGAGCTGGGGGAGGTTGCTGACAACTGGAAAAAAGGCACTCTCTTGAAAAGGTGGGATCCGGCTAACTACGAGCCAGGTAGTCTAACATCAGCTCCTGCTAATGTTGGAGAGCACATGATCCTGGAAGTCATTTCCATGCATACGAAGCATAAAGGTGTCTGGGAACAGCCAGCATGGATTTATTGAGGGCAAACTGCACCTGACTAACTTGACTAGTTCTTTGCTGAGAAGACAGTGTCAGTGGACACAGGGTGAGCAATGGGTGTTCACCTTGACTTCAGCAAGGCCTTTGACACCTTCCACTGCATCCTTATACCAAATTAGTGAGATGTTGACATTAAAGTGGCTGTACTGCTGGACTCAAATTGCTGTTACCAGCAGTAGTAGTCCAACTAGCAGCTGGTTACTATTGGCACTGCTCAGGAATCAATACTGTTTTATCTTCAGTAACGACCTGGACTCTCAGGAAGTTCGTGGATGATACCGATCTGGGTAGAGTGGCTGACAGGGTTCTGCAGAAGGACCTCAAGAAGCTGGAGAAATGGGCTGACAGGAACCTCAAAGTTCAAGGAAAGCAAATACAAAGTCCTGCATCTGGGAAGGAACAGCTCCATGCACCAGGACTGCCTGGGGCTGACTGCCTAGAAAGCAGCTTTGCAGAAAAGAACCTGGGGGTCCTGGTGAACAAGTTGAATGCATCAGCAACATGCCCTTGAAGCAAAAGCCACCAGCTGCATTCTATGCATAAGCATAAGCATAGCCAGCAGGTCAAGGGAAGTAATTCTTTCCCTCTTTTCTCTATCTGTGAGACTCCAACTGAAATATTCTGTTGTGGACTCTGGATCACGTTCATTCAAATAGCAGACAAGTCCCAATACAGATTGCTCACTGAATTTAATTGCCTTTTCTGCTAATGCTACCACGGAGAACAGCGTGCGATGGACAATTTTGCCCTGCAGGAAGGGCCTGCTTGACCTTTGAACTATCTGCCACAAGCAGCAAGTGCAGGAGCAGGTGTAGAGATGCTGTTCTGGACAAATCTCTTATCTGTTCAGTGCCATGATTCTCCAACGGCTGAAAAAAGGGAAAAATGTCAACAAAATATATTTACAAAATGTAAAAGGAAAAAAAACTCACCACATCACTAGCACTGGAAAATTCATTGTTAACCAGGCTTTCAAGAGCCATCCATCGAACTGGTCTGTTTTCATTATCTCCCAGGCAATGGTAGTCCATAGGAAATAGGTCTCGAGATAGCGCATTGTCTGTAATCTTAACCTGAAGTGCATCGTCAATGCTAATTTAAAAGAACAGAAGTATTTAGCAAACTTGGCATTACAGTTTTACAGAAAATATTTATGCTCAACCTTAAGTTTCAGACTTGGGATTTAATTGGGGAACACGAATCACACTATCAACATTTCAAAGGACTAGCATTCTTCTAGATCAAGACATGCTTATTCTGTGATTATCAAATATTATCAAAGAACGTATTTATTCTGTGTTAACAGATAAACCCTAGAAAAATCAGCAGCCTTAGATTAAATAAAAATCAAACATCTACAAGTGAAAAAAATACACTTAAAGCAAACAAACTCCTCCCTTAAATTATTCCTGCTCCCTTGGAGATCCCCTGTCAGATCAATTAAATTTTAGCTATAGTACCTCTGTAGCAATAATGAGCCAAAGATTTAAGCAAAGCAAAATCTAGTAATATCTTGTTAAAGCAACTAATATTATTTGTGGCCTAAAAACTTGTCTCTAATCAAGCAATCTGGTAAGATATCATTTATTCCCCTCAACAAGAGATATTAATTCTGACTGTTGTCAGAAATAGGATACTGGCTAAGGTAAACTTACTTTTAATCTACAAAAGATGACTCAAAAAAGCACACAGAACCTACTGATTTTTCCCCCCCTCTGGGACGTTAATTCATATTATTACACACTATTTTAAGTTCAAAAGAAAGTTCAATGTTCTCATAAACAGCTAACTTCAGAATATGGGTAAGATGTTGGTTTTAACATCTTATGACAAAAATATAGAAATAACATTGGGTTAGGGGGATTGTAACAAAATAGCATTTGCTGTCTTTTCATCTTGTCAATTATTTCTTTATTTTGATACGAAAAACTAAATAGAAATGCTCAATTTGTGTGTTTCCTGCTTCACTATCGCAAGTACCTTCTTATTTATCCCATTTCTATGCACTTTCAGGTCAGTTCAGTGCCCTCAAAATTTATAGACCAGGAAATTTCCATATCTAATCACTCAGAGTTCAGAGAAATTCCTAGAAGACCTGTCTATAAATAAATACAATACAAAGGGTAATTTTCAAGTGACTAGAGAGCTCTGACTTGTGTAATCCATATGTCCACTCTAACTGGGCCCAACTGTGTCACGGGCATTTGAGACCAAAGGTATTTCCCCCCTTAACAAACCTGCCAAGACCACTGCAATCCTGGCTCCCCTCCCAAAATTAGGGCACAGGTACCTAGCTCTGATACACTTCATACCAACTCCTCCCAGTCTCTCACCACACAGGAGTAGACCTGGGGAACAAAGGGGTGGCAGCTGAACAAAGCCCTTCAAGGGATCCTGGCTACTGGCACCCTCTTTTTCTCTTTAGGCTAGCCCAGGATTTCTTGCACTGCAGCACAGATCAGTAGATGCTCAGCTCCTGCCTGCATTTCCCATGAAGTGCCAGGTGCACTATGAATTGATTTTTATTGCCAGAACTCCGGATCACACGTATGGCAACTAAAGTGAAGCTGGACTTTGCCCCAACAGGGCAGGGAGTCAAGCTGTTCGGACTGCCGACCTTTCGCACAGCAAGGGCAGGAGGCCATTAATTCACTGCACAGAAATGAGAGGTTGTCACAAGGTAATTTCCCTGGAGCATTGTTTATGATCTTTGTCTCCTGAGGTACCACTTCTTCCTCAACATGTTCACCAGAGATGAAAAGCAACAGGAATTAGGAAAAGAGTCTCTAAGGTACTGTATCAAACTGAGCATCCTTGTGTAGTGCAAGAGCCAGGAAAGATTCTGCTGTACTAGCTCGGTGGCACCAGTTCAAAAGCACAAGGGATGGCTTCAGGGTGGATCTCACTGCTCCCTCTGTCCCAGCATCTGCTGCACCAACAGTGCCTGATGCCAGTGGTGCCAGTACAACAGGTGCAGTAGATAAAAGAATATGCTAGGACAAGCATGAGTGCTTAAGTGTCTCCCAGCTTTTTCTCTTAGCCCCTGGGATGCCACATCAGAAGCTCTGTTGGCTCTGGTTGGGACATTTGAAGAACTGAGCAAAAGACTGCACCTGAGAGGACTGACTGGTTTTGTGGACAGAAGCACGAAGGACAAAAGTTGTAGCAACAGTGACCCCTGACAACCCTGAGGGGCTAGGCAGGGAAGTCAGTCCAAATTTCAGGACCAGGACCTATCCTGGTGTTGGAAATGTGACCCATATTTTACTATTAATTGCTTGGCCAGACGTTCAGAGCTCTCTAACAGACACCAGTGTCATCGCCCCAAGGCACACCATACACTAGAAGGCCATGCTGTCCATGAAAAGTGCAAAGACAGAAAATTGGGCTTCCACTTCAAGGACTATGTGGGAGTAATCAAAGCAAGCCCCCAATCAAAAAGGGGTACAACAAGGTGGTTCAACAACTGTGCCTTGAAGATACTGGAGGGACTGATTCCTTGAGGATCCTAGGAGGTATTTCCAAGGGTATACTGGAAAACATGTTGGCAGATAAGGAAAAACACAAAGGTGGCAAGAAGTTGAAAGAGATGGAAGTCAAAGAACAGGAACTGAGACAGTAACCCAGTCATTCATCCTGCCTGGGCAACTAAGAAACCTGAAGATTCGGGAGCGTGCTCCAGTCTTTACACCCTTGCACTGACAGAAGACGGGGCTTGAGAAAACCCTGTAGGTATTGCTAAGGCAAAAAGCCTTACATGTAAGGCATGTCCCAAGGTCATCAAGAAGATGTGGGCAGCAATTCTGAGAAACTAACTAGTTTATCAATAATATTTTCATAAAACAGACAAGAATAATCAAGCAAATGACTAGATCATGAGGCATTTTATTTTCTTCCAGAAATAAATGAAGCATCATAACTGAAGGAATGCAAGATGTGCATTCATCCCAAGTGATCCAATGATGATGTATGTTTCATAAATGAAATTATTCATGATAAAACAGAGCTCATCAAATCTCAAGATCACCTCTAATAGCCAATTTCAGGTTAAAGACTTTATATTCATCAGTAGTTCAGTTACCTCATTAGAACTTACTTCATTGACTGACAACTTGTACACAGCTCTGGGGTATAACCCAGAGTTGCTTTTTTCTCCTTTTCTTTCATTGTTAGTTCATTAATAGACCAGTACATGTCCAGGGTGGGGGGGGAAGGATGGATGGGAGAAGGGCAAAAAGAAGTGTCTCTCCAAATCAAGAACTTGAATTCAAGGCTTCAAACATGGTCTTGAATTCTGAAAAGTAACTGTGTTACTTGAATTATGTTGTTATTTGCAGATATCATAAGACTAAGCTCATGGACTAACTGCCCCTTTAGGTATTTTCAGACGTTCAGTTAACTTTAGGCAGAAGACTATTTTCTATGTTTCCCCTTATTAGGTATGAAAGCAGGTGGAGAATGAACACGGTGGTTTCTGAGTCACTTGGTTTATAGAAAGCCACCAAACACCTCAAACAATCTCTACATTTTGAGGGCCTATTCCAGTCAGAAGATGGTCTCAAACCCTACTTCAGCATTCCTACTATTTACAGAGCACATTCATATCTATCCATCATTTGACAACTAAGAAATCAACCCGCGATCAAGGCATTAGGTTTTTTGGTTTTGTTTTGTTTTTTTAAAGAAAAAATGAAGAAAACCAACCTCATACAAAAATCTATCCATTGGTAAATAGCCAAAGATATTCCAAGTTTTTATTAAAGTTTAAGGGAAGCTTTAACATTTTTCAAGCCTTTGAAAAAATAAAGATAGACAAAACCTAGCAAAAGTATTTAAGATTAGGCTATTCTGCTTTCTGGAAAGCCATGCTTTCCGGTTCACCTTATATTTAGAGGAAAACAACTTCACTGACAAGGCTATTCAACCACAATTTGGTAAAAAACCAAACAGCAGTATATTTTCAAGTAGAGATCAGGTCAATTGGAGAAAGCCCATCCTAGCCCTAGCTAGTGACATAACATTGCATGATGACTCTACCCCATTGAGTACTTACACACAGTTTCTAGCAGCCAGGTCTTTGTGAATGACCTCCCGTCTGGCCAAATAACTCATTCCACAGGCAATCTGAATAGCCATATGTACAAGATCCTGCTGGGAAATTGCCTGCAAGAGCACAGAACAATTATTGCAAAACTGCAAGCCCAGTGCCTGCGAGGTTAGTGTTTTTGTTGTATTCTAGTGCCCCGCCCACCCTGCCTCAACTTTAGTGGCTGATGCTTTCTAGTAGCTACAGACACTACCACCTGTTGAAAACTTATGAATTCTAAATTTTAACTTTTTTTTTTTCTGACATGCCAGGGGCAAATGTTTCCAATTTGCAACTGCCTCACTGCTACACAGCTTTTCCTCTGATTAGTGGTGAACACAGGCAAAAATGCTCAATTTTACCCGTCTTGCCACACTTTTTCACTTTCTGCGTCCCTGGAAACCAACTCATTTTCAGGCAGCGGAGCACAAACAGCAGTCAAAATTCTTGTTGCTACCTACTGCTGAAAACTAGTATCAAAGGCTGTTGCTCCATCTACTTTTACAACTTCACAGTCCTATATAAATTAAACCCTTGCACATACTTATACCTTGGGTTCCCTCTTCCATTTCTATAGTGTTTCAGAAACTTCAGTATGTAGGTGGACACACTGAAGTTGCAAGACTGGGGTTAAAATAAAACCAAATACTAAATTAAAACAATAATAAACCGGCTTCTTCATTAACAGGTTATTAAGAACAATAGCCATGTATTATTTCAGAAAACTCAAGAGTTTGCTTTACGTATTTGTAGAAAAGTTCCATCTTAAAATAAGTATCTAGGACACCAAATGTCCCATTTTTTGATAGTACAGTCATACCTAGTTACTAAGAGGCAACTCCTGTTTGACATAAGATTATAAATACCATTTCTGCTTAAATTCTTGGAAAGGGATATTAGTGCGTTGCATAGGGATTTACAACTGAGATTAAGCAGCAAAACAAGTAAAAATCAAAGTTGAAAGGTCCTAGCAGCTTATCACAACGTGTAAATTAACAGAGGTAGGTGGCCCTTGCTAGTCTGAAATCTGGTACGTAACAGGGACAAATGCTAACCTCAGGAAACAAGATTTCATTTTGTGCTTGATTCAGTCTAGACACAGAAGCCAAACCAAGGTGAAGTTGAAGAAAAGAAAAGACAAGGTAATCCTAACAAGAGGGGTAGTTTTACTGCATATACACACTCATCACTAAACACTTATTCAGATTTTTTAAAATAAGCAAAATATGTTCTCATCTAGGAATATTTTCTTACTTCTTATGAAATATATACAGCAGGTTCCACTGAAACACAGTAAAGTCATGAATGCTAAAGAGCACCCACAGCAGTAAAAAAAACAACCAGCAGAGATTGCTTCCTTTAGTATCTGAAGTTAAATAAATTCAGTTATTTTACTTAATAGCAAATCTACAGCAGCACCTTAAAAGTTCAACAGAAGTGCTTTATGCTTGCTATAAAATTAAGAACTACAGTAATTAAAGGGATAATCTATTAATTATACCAAAAATAAAATCAGTAAATCTGAAATTTCTCCATACACAATTTTCCCATGTGTATTCTAACTTAAATCCACAATCATATACCATTTTCTTTATTTTTTAGGGTTTTTTTTTTAAGATGTATTGATATACCAGCTACTACCCTAACCAGAGTTTAACTCAGTTTCATGCCCTCTGAACATCTGTGATAAACACAGCCAAGAATGTTCTCCTTGTAGGAATCAAGAGAAACACTTGCTAGGGAACCTGCTTGCCAATTCTCTCATTGTCACAATGGAACAGATGAATACCACAACTATTTCTTGTAAGGCACATACACAGATGACAAACTAAGTCTAAGTTTAATGGGCAAAAAGACACAGATCTCTGAGTTTACCTGAGGATTGTTGGCCTCTACCAGCTTGCACTGTCGCAAGAATAGTTTAAGGTTCCCCCAGTTCATGTATGGCAGCAGCACCATTGGTTTCTCTCCCTCTTCTATACAGACATGAGTGATAGGTAGCAGATTCCTGGAAGATAGGGAGAGAAATTCCTCATTTTATGAAATTGAAATTTGATAAAAGTCTTCTTGATTCCTAAACACAGTAAGTGAAAGTAATTCAACACTAAGAAAAGCATTTAAACTTGCATTATGAATTGCAGAGCACAAGGGCTCCAAATAACTGAAGCCCTAGGCTTTTTTTTTTTTTTTAAATGAGATTTGAGTACTTTCCCATTAGGAAGAATCCTCCAAATTTTCTCACTTGGTCCAAAAGGGCTGAAATAAATTTCTGTGAATACAGGTTATCATTTATATTACGAAGCGATAACTTGGAAGTGTATAATTCTAAATGCAACTATAGATATAAAAATATATGGCTCCATTACAGTGGTTTAAAAAAAAGGTCAAAACATCATGTTTGATCCACTTCAAAATGAGAGAGCAGAAGATTTTAGTTTTGAATCAACTAAACATTAAATTGCACTCTCAGTGATACTCCTGAAGTATCTCAGGAGTCTTATCACAAGTGTTTTAGAATCATAGAATCATTTAGGTTGGAAAAGACCTTTAAGATCATCGACTCCAACCATTAACCTAACACTGCCAAGTCCACCACTAAACCACTTCAAAGGTCCCTTCCAACCCTCCTTATAGCTCAGATAACCCCCATGCTGCATTGTTTCTAAACATCTTCCTACAGTATCAAATGAGATTTGAGTACTGCATTGTATATATAAATTTATAGAAACTTGAGACAAACTGTATGTAGTTTCAATTTTCCATGAAACATTTTTAAAAAAAACCCTGTATCTTCTATTGAAAACATATTAGTAAGTCTCCAATGAGTTACAATGATTTTTAAAAGGGAACTTTGACATTTCCTGTTCTTACTTGAAGATGTCTGATAGTCAGGTATCACACCCATGAGCTCTACATACCCATGTAGCTCTACCTTCAATCAAGATAAAGGTCCCAGCTTTATAGGCAGTGTACAGAAGAAAAGCTTTCTGGACTTTTTAAAGAGTTTGACTTGTAAAAGGGAGGATAACAGCTGATTATGAATGATGAGAGCGGGGTTGTTTCATTTTGTTTCCATTTTAAGTATGTTTCCTCAAGAACCTGCTACCTCCTCCTCTTAATACAATCTTGTATTTTAGGCAAGGCTTTAACTGTAACAACTCTTAGAAAAGCAACTTTTAAATGCACTGTAGGACTAATAATTCTGCTTGAACTATTTTCATTTCTTCACATTACCAGTAAAAAAAGATCAGTTACCAGTCTAGGGACTTTCGACGAGCTTCGGTTTCTTTTTACCTGCATCCTTGCCAGTAATGAAGATCTTTAAGGCCAATTTTAGCCTTTAATCCAAGCTGCAAAACTGCCACTAACTCAAGCTGTTTGGGGCATCAATTTAAAAAAAACTTAAGCCATCACACCAAAAAACCATGCCATTAATTCTTAAGGAATAAATTCCATCAGTGTTGTTATGATGCCATACCAGGACAATATGTGTGCAAGAGTCCTAAAAAGCATTTCCTTGTGTCCATGTGGGACGGTACCTAATCACAGTACTTTCCTGTGCCATGTAGAAAATTATGAACAATACAAAACAGACTAATAAATTAGCTAAACTGACAATCAACCTGCATATATACTTACTCTCGTCATCACTAAGATCCCACCACATTTAACAACTAGCCTGTGCAAGAACCAGCATAAACCAACAAGTGCCTGCAGCACCTTTTTCTGTAATAACTAAGAATATATAAAAGGAGTATCTACCCATATTTCACTGCGAGGCTTGGAACACCAAACCAAAAGACTTTCCCCATTTTCCCACATGCTGCTACCATTTGATTTTACGGAGTGCGCAGCTAGGAAAAAAAGCTTATAAGCACTCTTTGCATATCTAGAATTCTGTATTTTAGAGTGACACAAAAATAGCTTCAGCTCTCTATGGCTTAAAAAAAATTTCAAACATGCAAAATATTGCTAAATTCTGAAAAAACTGTTTCCTCTCCCCCTAGGGAGCTTTAAGCACAAGTATTTTCAGCTCACACAGATACAGTGCTGCTTATAAACACTGCTTAGCTTACCTGTGATGAAGTCCTCTGAGTTTACAGCTTTCAGTCAACATCATTGTCACCTGTACCTCTGAGGCTTGATCTAATAAAAAAAATATATATATATATATAAAGAAACTGCAGATCTAACTTTGGAAACAAATCAACATATTAATTAAAATTTGGTCCAGATCTGCAGGTCAGTTGAGTTCATTTGAGCACAAACAGAACTTTCTTGCCTACTTTTTTAAAATGGAATTTAAAAAACCCCAAACGAGTAAGCCAAGTTCTAGGGCATATTTCTGCTTAAACAAATGGGGTGAAGCCGAAAAAGGAAATAAGACACACTGCAGGTGCTGACAGACTGTACTTTTGCCACTTCCTGACAGCTTCTGGGCAGGCATGAACTGCTTGCACTAGGCAGCATGGGTCACATCCTGCACACAGGGCCGGTGCTGCTGGAAGAAGGGGAGCATGCTGCTGGAAGAAGGGGAGCATGCCGTGCATTTCCCAAAAGCACAGAAGTGCTCAGAAGACACCAGTTCGCTGCTGAACTACCAGTACAGGCTTCTGCAGATTACTTCCACACTGATGGAGACCATTTATTTCTATATTTACTGCTCTCTACTTGAAGCACTTGACTCTTGGTAACCTTAGAAATGTTTGCTGTTCTCTTCCCTGCCTTTAAAAAAAAAAAAAACCCAACCAAAAAACCACTGCTGCCAGCTAAAATTCAAGCATCTGTGGTAACTCCAGTAACCCACAGCAATCAGAACATCTACTGGGCAGAAGCAGAAGTGTTGCCTGCAACCCCTTCCCCACAAATATTTTTGTGTTTAGTTTTTTTTTTTTCCCCTTTGGTCACAAGAAGCAACAGGGAAGCTTAATGCGATGTAAATCAGAGCTCTCACAATCCCACCCTCCTCATACCTGGGTGCATTTTCTGTCCCTCCTTCGTGCTAGAACTAGTACTGATGTGCCTAGGCAGCAAGCTAGCACAGGAGAGAGCCCAGCAAGAGCCAATCAGTTTTTCTTGCTGCATTAGGATGAATTTACATATTACAGATGAGTCAAACCAACATTTTATTGCCCTGGGAGGAAGAAGAGGAGAGAACTCATCTGCTCTTTTCCCTTCTTCATGGTCTTACCCTCCTCCCCGTACCACCCTTTCCTAATTGAACTTTAACCCTGCAAAAGAAAACATGACTTTTGACTGAGTTGAGTGGTGAACGTGGTCAGTGCAGATGAGCACAAGGTAAGGAAAGAAAGCACAAAGCCCACAGGGAGAGCACAGCCTCCCCCTCATGGCAATGGCAAGCTAAATAGATAGGCTTTAACATAATACACAAATTGGCATTTAGCTTTCCAGATCTGCTGGAAGTGGAGACAGCTTCAGGCACAACACAGCTCCTGCCTAAGAAGGGTTCATCAAAAGAGAAATCGCACAACTCAAGAACCTGTGAGCCACAAAACATCGGCTGGATTGAGAGAGTTCCTTTAAGTCAGGGAAAGGAATGATATCCCAAGGCAAACTAGTTCAAAGGCTGCTTTACCACCTTGGCTCAGGAAAGATTAAAAAGGAGGCATGCCTTCCCAAAAGCATACAGGCACTAAAAAAGGAGGAGATCAGGAAATGGAGGTTATAAATGCAGATACAGGTCCCAGCCAGAGGCACTGAACCCTGAGCATGCTTGGAAACCCCTAAGGAGCATCACTGCCTAGACCCTGTACAGACTGGAAGGACCAAGACCACCAGAAGTCAAAACACAGCGCTCTAGAGAAGTCCAGACACAGAGGTGCCATTAGACTTGTGACAACTATGGCTGCGGTGTATTACAGGATGCATCAAAATGGCACACTTCCTTGTATTTGATAACAAGTACATATGGGGGGAGGGTCTGAACAGGTTCTTGCAGTGCAGGAGACATTTAAGCAATGGTCAGCTGAAGCCTCTAGTTTGCACTCCAACACACAGAGGCATGAGAAAGAGAAGGTCCTACCTACTGTGCAGCAATAGCTCCCAAGTGTTTTATATGTGATGAATTTGATATTAGGAGACAGACTTCAAAAGGCTTGTAGACAAGTAAGAAAAACCAAGATACTACATTAAAATGCAGTTATATAGGCACAAATGGCTGAATCATCCAACTGTTATAAAGGGCAAGAAGCATTAAAAATAGAGGTGTAAAAGCATATTATAAGAAGTTAGAGGAACTGCCAGCAGGCTACTAGTACATAGCTTCAGGTTTAAATGCATTAATTACTAGAACTCAAAGACCACAACCTCTTCAACCCAGCATATGACAAAAGGGAGGAAAGAGATTACTAGATGTGAGTTTAAGCTGATTAACTTGCTTATATGCTCTTTGGCCCTGTGCTTGCTTAACTGGTTTGCTTTTAATTATAAGAGCTACCATGCAATAATTTGAAGCTCTAAATCAGAGATTATTTAAGACTGGCTTTAAAAATCTACAGAACGAGTTAATCTGGTTCAGACAATGCATCTATTCATCTCTTCATGCTAACACTGTAAGAGACAACACTCTTCTGCCGATGCCTTTCCCTTTCCATCACACAGAGTGTTTTTCAGCAGGTCACTGTTACATTTCATTGTTTTCTTTCAGCTCGGAGATACTACGCTATAGTCGTTGAGCACCCAAAAGGACGATTCAAGTACATACAGAAATCTAAATCTTATCTTGTGAAACAGTCCCAGCATCCGTATTGTGTTTTCTTATCAATATTATTTCCTTGTTTTCTGTATGGAAAAAACTTACACAACACCAACAAATTCAACACACTCAGAACAAACAATAGCAGTACAAGGCCAATCCTCCTCTAGCTTAGACCAGTGCCAATTTAGAACAACCACACAATTTGATTATTGTGGTTTTGTACTAGATATAATTCAAAACAGAATATAAATCACCACTTCGAGTGATTCTAGTCAAAAGGGGGTAAAAAAATACCAAAATAATGCTACCACAACAGTCCCCACTGCAATTAGACTTCCTTTTAAGGCCATTTTCTTTAGTTACACAACAAAAAGTACATTTAAACAAACTCTGTCATGTTTAGCAGATTATAACCACTTTCAAACATCCAACAGACAGGTCTTCATAGATTGGGAACAAGATCATTTTGGTAATAATACATTTTGTTGTCGAGAACCTGGTGAATCTGACCATCCTGCACTGAAAACCCTTAAAAGCAATCCAGAAAGTCCACAGTGTTTCTGGCTTTGATACAAGAAATACGCAGTCCAGAGCAAAGCCAGTGACAGCCGTGACCCAGCAATTCCAGCTTGGTGAGACATTTTTACGAGGACATACTATGGTGAATCCTACAGATTTCATTTTCCTGCCTGGGCCAAAGTGTAATCCTGTACCGAAACCATATATCAAATCTCTAAGCATTACATGTAAGCACACACACGTGGGCATTTTATTCACAGAATTGTTTGTGCAGCCACACAAAATGAGACCTGGGGAATGATCCTGTCAGACACACAAGAATGCCCACAGGCTTTTGCGGCTTGTTTTTTCTGTAGCGGATCTGTGAAGTCATTTGATATGACCACAGCCACACACGCAGCTAAAGAGCAGGGAACGGGGGGAAAGCCTCCCACAGAGCCAGAAACCTCTTAAATTAGAATAGCAACTTAAAGCCATGACAGAGGAGGCCAGTCTCCCATAGATTAAATTTGTGCGTCAAGAAACAGCCCTGAGTTTAAGTCAAACACTCCAGGGCAAGGCAACAAGGGCTTGTTGCACAACTTCTTCAAAGTCCTAAAAAAAGCTAAACTTCCCTCTGAGATATTAACACTATTTGTGATTAAGAATACATCACTGCTCAACAATTCATGCAATTGCATCATGGTGACCATGAGGTGTAGCCAGGTCAGCGCCTCTTAGCCCTGAAAGAGCATCCTCTATTTTCACAAGGCTATCACGCACCAACAGCTGAGTAACTGAATAGCAAAGACTTCAGGTCACACGAGTTAAGAGAAAGATATAATATCCAGTAGTAATTCTGGGTTCAATTAGGACCAAAAAAGTCCAACTTTCAGAAGGTGCTTAAAAACAAGACTATCTGAGATAGATGTAAATGCATTCCAGAACTAGGAAGATGCTTTTAAAGCACTGGTTTTACTCTTTCTGTGCCAAGAGCCTGGCTGTGAAAGCCTACCCTAAGGCACAGAGCAAGAACAAGCTAGGATTTCAAGAAGCTTTGATATGGCTGCAAGTTTACCTCATGATATTATGTTATTTGTATATAGCCAAGCACAATGGGGCTCCTAGCACTACTATTTTTATATAAGAGGCTAATCTCTCCACACAATTCTGGCAAGTGTAATATGTGCTGAGGCCCTTCCTGGTTCATAGGGAGAAAGGGCATCTGTTTGATTTTTACCAACTTCTAAAAGGCTATCTGCAAAACTGCATTTTAAATCTTTGTTTACCATCACTTATCAGTCACATGAATCATTGTGACACTCATGAAAAATATCTCTGGGAAGTTTTGCAATGACACCAACATTGCAGTAATTTGTTTGCTATGAGACTGGGCACTCATAACAACTGCAGAGCATCACGCGCTACATTCACTAGGTGGTAGCATATCAGAAAAGAGTCACTCCACACCTCAAATTACTTACCAGAGATGAAAGCAGCAATTACCTGGATATTGCAGTGAGTTACCCGATTAGCTGGATGGCTTTCAAGAATAACATTTTAAGTCAGACCTCCTAGAATCTCAAAATAGCAAAGCACAGCATTACAACTTAAAGACTTTAGATTGTAGCACGGTCACTGAAATCTGTTTCTTCAGACAGAAGGCAAAGCAGAATCTTAAAAGCAATACAACTGAGGGTTTCAAAATTGAAATAGGTCATTCCAGAGCCCTTTCATAGCCTACTATGGGCAGTAACACACAGCAATTTCTTTCAGCACATGTATCAGAAGCAGCTCCGCAAACACTACAGCTAGGAAGTCTAAACACATTTCCTGACAGCAATATTTAAAAAGATGTTTTACCTGAAGCTTGTCTCACCTTTGGACCATTTGTAACATCTTGTTCCCATGCGAACTTCCTTCTGTTCAT